GAAAAGAATTATTCCTGCTGGTGCAAAGAAAAAGATTGTGCCTTAGCTTCCATGCTGAAAATGCTTATAATAAGACATGTTTTGCGATAAGGAGATGTCCTGTTTGCAACACTTACAGGGTCCCTTAGGATCACTGGAGTTCTTCATCAGCAAACATTATGCATGACAATGATTGCAAGATTTAATTTGTCATTGGAATGCTAAAAGTGAGTAAGGAAGTGGGTATTTTAAATACTTCCTTTTCAACAGATGCAAGATGATCAAAAAATATTTTTGAGTTGCTCAAATAAAGAACTCACAGTCAAGTAAAAGAACTCTTGCTAATTTCCAGGTCTTGCTAAATGTAACATTCTTCCAATTATTTAGGTAGCAGCTAAACACATCTAATTTTTCTGAAAAAAAAAATACATTAAAAGTGAGCGACAGAAGGCTGGTATTGTTTCAGGAATCAGAAAAGAAAAGTTTGTGGTTTCCATCTACTCACTGGAGGGTTCAAATGTGCATCTCCTGCACCTCCAGAGGTGTAGTCTCTCAGCCATGAGGCAGGAGCCTATTTGTATGGGAGGACTCTGCACCTCCCCTGCTGAGGCTGTTCAACAATTCAGGAAACAACTAAATCATTCAGGGAGCCAAAATAAGCCATCTACTGGGGCACACGGGGGAGGGTGGTTGGCTTGTTTTCACCTTGCTCTAAGACTACTTTTGTATTTTCGTCCAGTGCCTGGCTGGAGGCTCAAACACCCTTTGAGGATTAGCTAGAGCCCAGGTGTTACCCTCTTCTTCCTCATGTTCACCCTGCCCTACAAACCACTGAACGACAAATTTGTGTTTATTCTTGATCCCCTTCTTTGGCGCTGTTAGAACTTTGATTCTTCTGCCATACCTCTTCCAGGCACGTTTGTTGTTTTTTTTTAATTAAACTGTCTACTTCTGCTGTGGTATTTTGTGCAATGCCTGGTGCTGTAGACATGTGAGAGGTTGGTCCCCCCCAGGCACTGCTTCCTCCAGGGAATACAGGGAAGAAATTGCCAAGTTTAGGGATTCAGGCTGGGTTTAGGACTCAGATAGGTGTAGAGCCATGCAGGTACACCAAGTTTCAAACAGTCCTAGGCAAGCACAGAAGTAGTTTAGGTGCCTGAGATACTTAGTTGACAAGAAAACATAGTTGTACGTAGACTTTAGTTGCCTAAGGAATTGGGCACGGGAGGCAGCGTTCGAGGATCAAGTGCTTGGGCTTCAATATTTGTATTCTACAGGAGGCCCACTGTGGGCACTTAAGCCTTTAGTGGAGCCAGCCCTCAGCCTCTTTGCAACTGTTCACCCAGCTGTTCCCAGTTTTGTAAACCTCCAGGTACACAACAACATAAACACAGTGTTTTTAACAAGCAACTGATACTGTAGGGGCCTTCTGTGAATGGTCTTGTCTGCAAGTTTGTTCATAATTCTTACCCTTTTAATGTATCATAGGTTGCTGCTGAGAGCACAACACCACAGCAGGAACTAGTCGATACTGTTGGTGAGATCTGGAAATTAGAGTATAGCCTGAGCTACTAAAGAAGAAAATAAATAAAGTAGTTTAAATTTAAAGAACTGTGCTCATGAGAGCCCCTGAAAACAAATCTTCTGAGACCCCATAACTTTGGACCCGAAACAACCATAAAGGCTGCAGCAAAGCTGGAGACACTGTGTGAGTAGCAGGAGAAAGCTATAAGGCATCAGAAGCAGGATAAACTTTTCTGCTTTTTTAACTGTGAGGATGCATGTCACCTGCGCACACACAAACCCTGTGGCAGTTGAGTCCTAGGGTCATTTGGGAATTTAAGCAATAGCACAGTCTATGCATAAACTACAGTAGAGATGCTTACCTATTACAAAAATGACTTTTAAAGAACTTATTTAAATTAGTTATGACCATTTTTTAAATTGATAAATGGCTTATAAAGTATTAAAAATAGTTTTTTTACTTCAGTTGCAGTCACACAGCTTTAAAGCCCATAAATCTTATAGCCATTGCACTAGCCAGTAGAGTCACTTAAAGTTTTGCAATTGAGTAAGTCACTGGTTGCAGCATTGTTAAAAAAAGGGGAAAAATTAATGAATGGTGAATTATGAGTGCTTCTCTGGATGACCTGACGCATTCTTTCATGAGTCTGTTTTGTCCATTTGGAAGTATAAAATGCCACAACGTGGTGCTTTATTTCCCAATGTATAAAGGTGTTCTATGTTAGGATGAGGAATCGGGACCACATTTCCTTATAGGGGCTATCCCACTTGAATTTCACCCACTTTTAGAGGACTTTGGGGAATTAGAATGTAGACAATGCACTGAGGAAGTGCTAGGGGGTTTGTTTGTTTCTCAGAATAAAGAATTAATTAAAAGAGTCTATGACTGTATTCAGCATCAAAGCCGTATGTGCCAGCTATGATCTTAACAAATGCAGATTCCCAGAGCTAAAAAACCCTATCATTTGTAGCAGAGATCTTTGGTGGCTCCCAGGAAAGTTACATTGTCCTATGGTGGTTAGGTTCTAAACAAAGATCTGGAATAAAAGTAATCAGTGTTTATACATTTAAATTCAGGGCTTAATGGTCTGTAAGTGGATGATGCCAGTTAGGGAATGCAGAGAGTCTGAGGCTAGTAGCAAATAGAACATTATTTTTCTTTGTGTGTTCTCCTTTGCCTCACTCAGTTTAGAATGAAATTTACCCACCGACTCCCACCACTGTTTTTCTTGGAGAGCAGAGTGGGATGAAGAAACACAGCAATTAAATATAAAAGATACCCATGCATTGCAATAGGAGCTGGATTCCGTATGTTTTGGTAACAGGAACTAGGGGAAAAAATAAAAAGAGGTGACTCAGGTCTACCTAATCTTTGAAGTCTGAAGTCAGTCTCAATTTCTACCATTTCTGATCCATTCCCCACCTCTGCTCCACATATAAAAATAGACCTTGTTAGTGAAACAGAAATTGTGTTTAAGCTCTGTTAGTTTCAATTGGTAATGCTGCTGCCATGACATTCGCATCATTTAAAGTTTGTTATGCTCCCATGTGTTGAACACATGGCTAGCAGCTCTTCCAGCCATCAGGATCCATGTAATCACAGCAAAGCAGTTAGCATCATAAATAAAGCAACATGAACTGATACCACATACTTCCTTCTCATGGTGAATTAGGATGATGAACTGGAATTCAATGCCATTCTTCACCTTACAGCAAAAGGCTTGATTATGGTAGACCAGGACCATGTATGTACCTGGGAAATAATTCATTTAACCCTTTTGTTGTCTCTGATTTAGAAATCCTGGTTTAGGACCCAGTCCTGTGCCAGTCTGCCATATTTGTGGTTCACGGACACCTTCATGATGGCAATTGCACCCTCTTCTATACTTCCTTTTAGTTTTTATTTAGTTTTGGTCTAAGTAGATCATTGTCTGTGGCTGAGAACTTGAAGGGAGCTTGTTGTCTTTGCTAATGGTTGGATTCTGTCTTAGGCTCCAGGCGCCGCAAACAGGTATCCCTTAAGGACACAGTAATTTTTAAATTTAAAACAAGACCAATTATTTGAGATAATTCCTGAACATGATAGTTATTTAAGAGTATTGAAGGTAATTGCATGACTTCAAACAAAATTGAATTTTTAAATGTATGCGTGTGTATACACGTGGCAATGGATTTGATCTGTATGGTTTTAGTTGCTGTTGTCTTTTCTTTAAGGCATATCAGATTGCCATCCTATTTGTATCAAACATGGTGGAAATACAGTTCAAGCTAATTGGCAACTCCACTAGCCTGAAACCTTGGCTGCAGGTGTCTCAAATTGGAGATAATGTCATCTAATTCCCTGATGGCCTTGATAGGCACTGACTTGAATGGAGAGGTACCTTAAATCTTACCTATTTTTTACCTAAGCGCACTTAGCTAATAAAGTAGGGAACACGCTCATCTCCCCTATGGGTCATGTGAAACTGTGCTTTCCTTGTACATTTTAATTATTAATGTGGTCACGGTAACATCTTCTGAGTCTGCCTACCTTCCCTTTCTCCTTCCATAAATGTGGGTCTGTTAGTGACTGAAAAGTTGTCTTTGAACTCTCTGTCCTAATGATCCAGACGTTCCAGACTTGCATGTAAAAAAGAAGTACTTGCATAAAAATTAATTCACTGGACAGGTGTTACAGCATTACAAATGAGGTAAGAGTTGGTTTAGTGAGTGTGTCAGCAAGAAAGCCAGATGATTCCAAGTTTGTTTTGGGTTGGTGGTGTTAAGCGCTTTTCCCAACAAATTTAAGTGTTCAAAAATTAGTTTTCGTACAGTATGAAAATGAAAACAAAACAAAGCCTTTTCAACACTTTCACTCAGCTACTGGGCGGAGGCCTTTGATTTGAGGGCATGGACTCAAGTCTCTTCTTCATCATCAGAAAAGTACTTGTCTTCATCCCCAGCTCCTGACATTTGGAAACAAAGGGGCTTGAGTGTAATTTTGTCCACAACAAAGCCAAACACTTAATTGACTTGGTAGTCATCTTTCTGACTGTGTCCTTCCTCAGTTTAACAGATGAAGATATGCTTCATCATATTTTCATAAAATAAGCTTCAGATGAGCTGTAAGTGACTGTTGGGATTCTGTCATCATATTCTCAGAACTAGTTCCACGTTTCTTTGGTTTGCTCAGGAGTTGCTGAACCGATTAGTGGCATGGTTTTGTTAGGTGAATACAAATGTGCCAATAAAAAGAAGCATATCGCTATTTCCCCTCCTAAATAATTCACTAAGCATTTTTATATTACTTGCTTCTGTGGTTTAACATCTTTATAGTCTTTACTACTGAGTTTTCTATAAGACTATAAGTGTATTTTAGTGTTTGTATATATGTATATATATACACATGCAACCCCAGGGTAAGTTGTGTGTCACAAATCAAATACTATAATCTTCTCAATTATGCAGTGCCTTTTCAGAACTAGAGTCATAAATATTTCTTTACCAGACAAAACCAATGTTGCATGGCAATACATTTTATTTTGTATAGCTTCTTTCAAGCACATTGTGTCTCAAATACGTTAGAGGTAATTAACATACTTGCAGATTATAAAATAATCTAAAAAAGATTTAATTTCATGAAAATTCTAAACAACAATAGCAATATACGTGCGCCTTTATTCACATGCATCATAAATGTAAAAGGGTGATTACACCTGTAAGAGCTGAGCAGCTATTTACATTCTTGTAAATACTGGTTTGGTGGAGTGAGCTCTTTGTGAGGGGGATAGTTGGTATCTTTGTTCATTGATTCCAAAAGACTAGCACTGTGATGATTCTGTATAAAAAACTACATATACACCTTTGGACTGTTGTCTACTTTCTTTGCTTGGTTTTTGTTTGTTTTCTTTAATTAATATGGGACTACCAATCCCAGTACTTCTATGAAACTGAAATTGGAATAATTAATCTCATTATCATGGTGCAATAGCTATATTTTATTGCCATTTCACAACAGTGCAGTTGAGTCTTCCTGGTGAAACACTCAAGCTGCCTGATGGACTCAGCAGACGGCTGCTCATTGCCACATGTTTGGTTTCTTCCAGCAGACGGTTCCTGTAAGATGCATCATTATATTGTGCAGTGTAAAGGTGGGTGGTTTTTTTTCCTCGCATTTAAAGACAAAAACATCTCTAAATTGCATAATCTTTCCTTCACCTGCTCTGTGCAGATCTATCATAGACAGAAGGGCAGCTCCTCAGGCCCCGCTGGGGTCACAGTCAGCCACTGGGATCCCTGATACTATTAGGCAAACGCTACCTCTTTGCCCCTCTCTTTTTAAGCCCCCTGTTTACTGTACACACCGCCTTTTATTATATGCTGGTCCTTACTAAGAGCTTAAAAAATGAAATAAATTTGCCTCATGGCTGCTTCATTTTTGTGATTAAAATGGATTTTACTGGAGCTCATAAGGCCAAGGTGTAGCTCAGATTACTTTAAAAGAATTTATAAGAGTTGAGTACCTGAAGAAGCAGCAGTCTCCGAGGAATGGAAATGTAGCTTCTGACCAAGTGGCAGCCTTGTGGCAGCACTGGCTGGGGGGCAGGAATGACCATTTCACATACTCTGGGCCACTGGGCATCAGTGGGTTCTGGTTTCAGAGTCATGCCATGATATACAGTTTTTTCTGATTTTGGAGACAACCTTTGTAACTCTCAATGTGTGAAGGCTAAGCAGGAGTCAGACAAAAAAGAGCAAGCTTAAGAAGCAGAGAATACAAGTTCTCTTGTGCGAAAGGCTGGATTACTCCCATCCCATTTCAGGCACTGGAAGTGGAAGGAGCTTTTCACACAAACTCATCAATTTCGTGTCACCTGTGAGTATAAACCCCACTGCATTACATACTATTTAGTTTTCCAGATTTTTTAAATAGAGGAAATGTGGTGAAAGACGTCGTATTTCAGCCTAGAATGTTACAGAGTTTTGCAATCTACCCATAAATGACGTGAGAGGACCAACTCTCTGCATATGTAATTTATTGCAACTTACTAAGTGCTGGGATAGAAAAAGGAAATGCCACACACAGTCATATTTGTGCCATCCTGTTAACTTTAATCTTATGTAGCTAGGACCCTGTTTCCATTAGTTTCTTAGCTGTTTTTACTAAGGGAGTCATCATTATTCTACTGTGTCTTTCTGTAGGACAGGGAAGGAAACTACAATTTTTTTTCTCCGTAGAGCTGAAATTCAAAGCGGTAAGCTAATGCTTTTTTTCATAATTCCAATGCCCCTTGCACATGGCTTGAAATATTTCAGATGTACTCTGAAAATAACAAATTTTTAGGTAATTTTATATTCTCATCTTTCACAAAGAGACAAGTCAGTTTTCTGGAATATAAAGTTCTTTAGTCTCCTAGGGGCAAAAAGGCAATTCAAGCTTCTCGGAGCAACTTCAAGAGCCGTGATAGCAACCAGTGTTATTAGAGCATCTTAGTTTTTCAGAAGCTCATCAACTGTAATGACCCTGATAGCCTGGATTTGGATTCAGAGGATGTTGACACAACCTTATCAACACGGACACATCTCCATCTTCACTTACAATGTCCCAGGGACACATAATTTAAGAACATTATAATGCACAAATGCTGCTGTTACAAAGACAAAGAACAGCGGGGGAGATTTATTTCCTCACAACAGTACCATTGATAAGGAAGAAAGATGTGCAAGTGTTCAGAAAAGTTGTGGACATGGAACGATTAAAACTAACAGAAAAATATTCCAGTGGATAGAGTCAAAAAGCAGTTCTTTAATTTTTAAATTTGCACAGCAATAACTGAGACAAATGAGCCTCTGAAATATTTTGGAAAATGTCACTTTGCAAACCTTGTAGATTGCTTAAATGTTTATTAAAATGGACCAAAAGCCAAAATTCTCTGGGTAAAATAAATACTTTGTCTTTGCTAAGTAACAATATTTGTGAACAAAACATAAAACTATAATTTTCATGTGTCAAACATAGTAACATTTAAGATTAAATGTTGGAGTCAGACCGGGCATTTTTTTTATGTCTTCCTATTTACAAGCTGCTCATTAAGACCATTTACCTCACGTTAGCTATTAAAATGACTAACATTTTTAAAGTTTGCTCCATGACTAAAATAAAAACAACAGAAATGTCCTTTTACCATAACTTAACAAAAAGCAGAACCATATTTTTGTTATCTAGGAGAACATAGTGTTATAAATACAGCTGTTTTTCATCTACAATTATATAAATAATAAACATGCTGCCATTCACAAGGATTTTAATAGATGATTATATATAAGCAATACTATGATCTAGCAGAGGATGGCATGAGTTTTCATCATTCATTTTTATTGTACTTATTCAGGACTCTTGTCTTCATCTGAAAAATGTGGAACAGACTTCTTTGCTACAACATTATCCAGTCGTTGTCCTTGCAGATATGGGTTCACACTCTGAAAAAGTTTAAAATTATTTATACTTATTAGAAACAGGGAAACATATAAAAGGTAACTAGCATTAGTGGATATATATCTTATCTGTCAAATACTTGCAGACTGAAAAAAAAATAATTGCTCTCAGGGAGTAAATCTAAAAGTCAACCAATGCTTTGTCTTCTAATAATTTTTGTGTGTAAGAATTTAATCCAATCCACTAGACAGAATACAAGTGAAAGAGGACTATCGAGAATACAGGACAGTCTGAATGAAACACTGTCTTTTTGCTCCACGCCTCCTTTCCCCAGCTCAGCAGAGAAGCAGCAGCAGATCTAACTCCCTCACATTCTTTAGGCACGACAGAACTTGTTCCAGAAGTCCAGGTAAGCTTTACCTTAAATCCCTAGCCTCTGATGGACCGTATGCTGGGAAACATTTAGATACCACGACACCATTTTTGACCGAAGTCTCTTCTTCAGCCCATCTCCTCTCCAGGAAAACCCTCCTCGCTTCCTCTCTTGATGCCGAGATAAAAAACTGCTGGCACAGAAGCAGAGCCAAGCAAGGTTTTGGCATAGGAAATGGCTCTCCTACCACTGCCAGAACAAGGGAATGCTGGAAAGAAGATCCCCGGAGAGGGTTTAACTTCACTTTGCGCCATGTAAGCAGCACAACGTGAGACTGAAGAAGAACAGATCCTGTCTCAAAACTGTTTGGAGATCATAGAAATGTAGAAAGCCTATGCTTGAATTTTATATATACCAACGGAATAAAATGTATTTCCTGCAAGTATCAAGCAGTTTAGTGGAGCTTCAGAATTAACAAATATTATTTACACCCACTTTCTGGCCTGCTACAGTATCAGGGTAAACAAAATTCAAGTATATACTTTCTCCTTCGCAGCTATAGACAGAAATTCTAGTGTGCTGGGTTTTGATGCCAATAAAAATTGTTTGCCTAAGGACAAACTTTGGAGGAATGGAAATTTTCCAGTATCTCCTGATTCTTGTCAGGCTGGCTGTACCACAGAAATTACTGTTCTTGAGACATTTCTGTGTTTCTTTCACCAAAATGTAGGGAATTCAAAACTTTAAAAAAAAAAAAAAAAAAAGCTTTAAAATAGGAATGAAACATTTCCGGATATCCCAGGTATTTGTCAAATTTCTGGACAAGATTTGGGGTTTGTCTGTCTTCGAGTTTAAGCTTTGGGTTTCTCCAGATTTGTAGACACTATCATTAATACTTAATCACAGCACAGAGCAGCCCTTTTGCTTACTTCTGCTAGGTTTTTTGGGTGCTTTGCCTGCTGCAAGTGAAAACATAAAAATGTAAAGAACCAGAAACGAATGTGGAAAAAATCTCTGAAAATAAAACTAACACTAATTTAATGTTTTAAATTGTTAAAAATAAGACACATGTAAATGATTTTTTGTGTTTGTTTAAGGAAGTTCTGTTTAATGTTAATTTAGTGAAATTCATCTGTTGCATAAACTTCTAGGAATTATTTGAAGATTCTTAGGAAGATTAATTGGTCTTGTTTTGGAATGGTACTTGCTACTTTTTGAAATAAAGTAGAAGAAAATAAGAATACATAAGAATTTGAATCCTTCTCAACTGACGTAAGAAAACACAAAATATAATGCAAAATTTTTGGCTGATTTGACTGAAAAAAAAGGTTTAATCCTATACAGCTGTGCTGAATTCAAAGTAACGTGGTTCCTGAGTACCTTTGTGCACAACTCCGAGCCCACGGCAACGTGACTCAGTGATTACAGAACACTCCTGTCGTGTTCAGGATATTAGATTCTGGACAAGGCTATGCTCTCATGTAGAGATTTAAGAAAAGGGGAGAATTGCATGTTAAATTAGAGGTCACTGTCGGCTTCCTTGTCTTGCACTGCAAATGCTGCAAAAAATAACAAAGTAGCAAATGGCAAATACATACCTTTGCAATATATACTGATTATATGCTTGTATGTGTGTTTTATACCTACATATAAACATATGAATATTCATACACAATCTTAAATATGTAGTTTTGTAAACTCCTCTGTGACTGTTACACGACACCGTCGTATAGACACAACACAATTGCTACATACACAGTTACATTGGACTTGCTTTAAGCTAAAACCGGGACATTCTGACCCAAAAGACCAGTCTGTTACCAGAAGCTGTCCTCCCTAAACTCTGTCTGTGCAGAAGGGCCTGGAGGAGCGGCAGGGACCGCAGGAGGAAGGAGGGGAATCCAGTAGGCTTTTGGGTTTCAGGAAAAATACACTCTGCTGCTGACAGCTCTACATTACCCTTCTGCTAAAAAAGTGAAAATTCTGAATCGTTCATTAAAGCATTAGTAATCATTACAGTATCACTCTTAAAACAATAATACGCTATAAATGATAATGGATTTACCATTAATTGACATGCCTGTGCTAAGAAAACAAATCTGCTGCAAAGTGAGAAACTGAAGCTTCACCTCCAAAATTCTGGGCTGCCCCTGGCCACACGGTTGTCATGTCTCTCCAGCCATTATTTCTTTCTGTCCCATTCCTTCAGCACACAGGCACAAAATATATTTATGTTTTTGCTTTTTTCTCATGTATGTATTGCACCAATCTGACTTTAACATGCTGTTCTAGCTATTAACAAATATTGCACAAAGCTATTTCCAGAGTAAATTCTGCTTGCTTTAGAGTTAAATCAGGTCCCTACCCTTTTTCCTTTCCCGCTACCAACCTCAAAAATCAAACGTAAGTGGGAGGCAGATACTAAGCTCCAGATAGATCATTAACTCATGGCTGAACAGTGTTTATTACCAGTGATGCGTGAACTGGTAAGAAATCAACACATCTTATCCCTTTCTAACAAAGACTTTACGTTTAAGTGTTAAATAAATAAATAAATCATCTTCACTTACATTTCAGTTATTTAAAACCAAATTTACTTCATTTACAATATAAACTGTGCTGTCATATTTTGAAAAGCTACTTACTGGCAGAGAGCTAGACTTTTTCTTCTTGTAAGAAAAAAATACCAGCAGCAAAGCGAAAGACTTTGTCTCTGCCTGAAAGTGATTTTTTTGATGAAAGAAAGGCTGCCACTACTGAAAAAAGATGATAGTGAGGTGGACTGTGCAGAGGTTCTCTGCGATATGTGGATTTCTGTCCTTGTTTCAGGGGCAGAAAGATGAGAACCTGTTCATCTTTGTCCTTCCAGCAAGTGGGACACAGAGGTGCGAATTTAATCAGAGGTAAATCCAAGTATGTAAGTGGATCAAATTACATCAGCTGAAGGACCAGTTCTACTGTCATTTACACACAAAACCATATTGCCATGCATCGATAGTGGTAATTAATTTTACCCAGCATTTTAGTAGGGAACTTTAAAATTCTGGTTCAAGGACATTTACGTAATTTTAAATGTTTTTTATGCAAATAGGATCCATTTAAAACCACCAATACTATAAAGTTTATAATTTAATGCTCTGCATTGACGCACATCTTCTGAAAGCAACAGGCTATTTAGAGAAATACATCTTGTACTCGGTGGACAGTCCTGAAGCCTGCTGCAGTAGTTTGTCACAGAGATTGTCTGACTTTACACATTGTCTAAGGTATAATGCAGATGCATTAGACTAACTTTCCATTTCAACATCATTATTTTAATTCTTACTAGCTCTCTAGATAATACAGCGGCTATAAAGTATTGTGGTATTTACCCTCTTTCTTCTTTTTGGACCACCATTAATCTTCTCAAAGAGTAAATTCTTGCTCTGGAAGGGGGAAAAAAAAATCTGTAAGATTCATTATGTTCTTCTTTTAAAATACTATTTTTGCTGTTAAATATTAGCAAGTTCAGAGAGCGTGTAGTTTTAGTGGAAAGATGAACTACAAATGAATATTTCGATATTCCTGCTAACATTTTGAAATTCTTCAGGAGCAGTCAAAGTCTTATCAATAATTAAAAAGCCAGTAATTTTCCACTATGCTGCACTATATTATCATCCGTGTTCAGGCAATAAGACTTTGAAGTACATACTTGTAATATAATATAGACTGAATGTTCCGCATTGCATGATACATGGTATAAATACATAAATTTTTTTCAAAAAGTGGGAAGGAATCTTGCCTCTGGTACACCTTTCTATACATTTGAGGTGACAAAAGAACAGCAGCAAAAAAATATTTGCTTTACAAGAGATTTTCTAATTCCTTTTAAAAACAGCAATCGGTGTTGTTCCTACTGTTTTGTTGTCTTTGCTTGTTCCCTTCCAGATATCAACACTTCCCAGTGCAAAGTTCTGCTGAAAGGAGTTCAGCGCCAACTTTTCCTTTGTTTAAGTAGTACCCTCAATAAAGTTTCTAAAAACCATTTGGTCTATAACATTTTTAATGGTGAACCTTTTTAAAACTGCCAAAAACATCTTGGCAGAAGAGAAAGTTATGATGATGAGAAAAAAAAAAAAAGCTAACACAAAAAAACCCTCTGACCATAGTTTACATAAGTGCATCCACATATTGTTGTATTTCGTACAAGTAGTGAATTCTAATAAAGTCTGGAATAACACACACATGCTCAACACATTTTGTTTCGATTGTGTATTATGAAGAAAAACAAAACCAAGCCCTAACCTGAAAATGGAAGGAGAGAAGAATTACATGTACAAAAGCAGAACACTGTATAAACAAGGCCATTAATTCTGCTATAAACAACTGACCTAACGTTGATTATATAAATAGAAAGTGTAATTCTAGCGCGAGACAAATTCACCAAACACTTCTACCCTCTCTGCAGCCTTGATATGAGAAAAAACAAACATTTTCAAGTGTTACAATGAAATCTGCCAAAATTGTCTGTTTTGTACGTCTCATGTTCATTAAACCCCAAATTCACAAGGTCTATCTCTTGCCCAACCTCAGCTATTTTGTCTGAGCTGTGCCAAAAGGGAACAGAGATTAAGTTGGCCAAGGGAGACATTCTTGGCTAGTCATTTATGCAAACTCACTTCGGGAAAACTTAAATTTAACATTTTAAAGAAACCCATGGATGCGCAAGTGATTCTCTTTAGGAAACAAAGCACCGCTGAAGTCTCTCTATGTAAAGTATTTGACTTTATACTTTTCATGAGAGGAAAAATAGTGTTTCGGAAATAAAAAGAATTTGATGACTAGTGAAGCTAACATTTCTGTCACTCAGGAAGATTCCTTACAATTGAACTGTTCCTGCTCGGAAGATCATATTTTGTTTAGTCTGTTTGGGAATGTTTTAAGACTGTAGCTACTACTTAAGCATTACGTAGAGTGCAAAGCAAATGAAGTTATGGAGCATAAACTCAGAGTGTGCTTGTGCAGTAATAGCAATCCTGAAAATATGTTCCACTGCGTAAGGATTTGAGCTCATCAGCCACCAAAATTGGCACACGAAGTGATCACCATTCTCATCCCTCACCTAGGAGTTGTTAGGAATGAAGTCACAGAGCTTATCCAGTTAAAGATACACCTCATCCGAAGACGTGTTGCACATGAATTGCTACTTTCTCCTCACTCCTGGAGCTTCCTTTGCACCCTCCTGGCTACTTGGATCAGGGTGCTACAGATTGGGATTTGAGTAGAAAAAAACTCAGAACTTAAAATGTTTACAACCAACTAACTAACGCCAGAGAAATTTACACATATATCTTTCAGACTTTACTGAAATTTGTTTAAGTCAGTAACAATCAGCAGATCTGTAAACTGACCTGCACACTGAAAGCAAAACTGAAAAGGAAAATTGCATTAGCAAGGTTGCATCCTTTTGGGAGAACTCCCCCCTGGCCCAGTCAACTTACAGTCTTGTCAGGAATATCAAACACGACAATTTCTATTACACCAAACATACTACACTGAACTAAACAATCTGCATTTACTGCCTGAAATTGGAGAGGGGTACCAGAACTATTGCCATTGCCATCCAGATATTGAAAAATGTCAGTTGGCAAAGAATGATGCACTCAGTGTTGCTCACTATAACGGAAGGAAAATGAAATCTGAGTGACTAGGTTCAGGATTTCATGAGAATTAGGAAGCTAGAGATGGCAACTTCTTTAACAAAAAGTCAAATATTTTTATCCCTGCTTCCCATTTGCCTTTCTTCATACTGTCTTGGATCCCTCCACTGTAGCCGATAGGCAAAACTGGCATTCTTTCCACCCTAAGAGTGAAATAGTATTTACTGCTTCAGTAAAAAGAAGCATTACTGATAAATATAGTTGCTATTCATTTTGCATTTGTGCTGCTACTGGTGTCAGAAAACACAGCTGAACTTCCCTCCTCTTTTTAATACTTTAATACTTTTGGGTTTCAGTAAATATACAACTTACATGTAAGTGGGTTTAAGATTTGTATTGTGAATTTTATATTGTAAACTATCTTTGTGCAAGACTTTCTGGATGCCAACACCACTTCTTCAGACCATCTAAAGAGTCAAGTTGCATGATGTGGAAAAGGCAGACTCAAATGTAAAGTACCTGTTTCCTGCAAGGAAAAGTCTGAACTGAAGGGGAAAATAAAAAGGTCCCAAACCTCTGTGGTCAAAAATCATAGAAACTATAATTACACACTAGGGTAAACACCTCTGAAAGTCCCTCATCTTACTATTCCAACTGTCCCCTCTACGTATTCCACATATGAGGAGAAGAAAAAGTATCTTTGGGGCTGGGGAGGAGAGTATAAACTCTGCAGCTTGCCCTATAAACAGAGCTTGTTCCTGAGACTTCCCACATGTCAGCATATTGATATATGGAGAGTTCTCCCAAAGACAGGAAAATTCTTCCTCTTCCCTCTCCGAACACAGTATAGATGATTTATGTATTCGTATCTTCATATATATTAGCAGTATTTACACACAATATTTAGTGTCTACACGGAATCATACACTTTCCTGTATGGGACAGTTTCTAGACTTGTTTTACCGTTATAAAACGTGTCTGCTGTGCACAGGGTGCTGCAGAGGTCCCACAGCTTTGTGAGCGTTAAGAGTCTGTCACCAAAACAAACCAACCAACCTGTTTCATTCCCATTATTCACAAACAAGCCGATCTTTTCCTTTTTTTTTTTTTCTTTTTTTTTTTTTTTTTTTTTTTCCCCCTGACCTGCTAATGTAATTTGGGTTTTACTGTGGTTATGCTAAGGAATGCGTGCTGGCTCCTTGAAAGGACAAGGCAGTGGGAACTGTAACGCCGCCTCAACCGCTCTGCGGCAGGAAAAGGCAGGGGAGAAGCTCCCCCGAGAGCTGTGAGCGCACGCCAGCTCGCACAGGTCCAGGAGACACACTGGCTCCGAGGGCTTCAGACGGTGGTGACAGGCTAGCGCCTGCACAGCACGCAGGAGCTGGTGGAAACGCCAGTCTGTAAATACACAGCCCTCACGGCCCCGGGGGCACGCCGTCCTCCGCGGGAGAAGGAGGAACGAGGGGGCTGCTGGTGGGCAGAGGGGGTTCTGGTGGCTGGGGGGGCAGTGGGAGGATGAGGATGCTCGGTCGTCACCCTCTGGGCAGACCACATTGGCTCTGCTGGTCATTTACAACCTAATCCAGATGACAGTGAGTGACCTAGAAGATCTGATCTACTTTCTCTCTCCCTTATAAAGCCTCAGACAGCTAATTTTTAGAGTGCTTCTCTGCTCTTATTTTTTCCAGAGAGATAAAAATAACCAAACCAGCCATAAAACCAGATATCATCGTATTTATCTTTTTAATGTGTGGTAGTATACAATGAGGAGGCAATCGGGGCGATTCTCCTGGATCTGGGCAGAACATTTGCTCATGCACATTACCAGCTGTTTCATCTCTAATTAGAAAGATCTGGAGTTGGCTACGCCGCAGCTAGATATGATTACTGTTTAGTACCTAACAGTCTGTTTTAATCCATGCATGAGCAGGTTTTTCCCCTGAATTAGTAGTGATGGATGGAGAAATGAAAAAAGGCCAGTATTCACTAATGATTACCTACCATTTGTTAAGTATATACATTGCTGATGACAACAGAGTATATATGCTTGATTCTGAAATATTGCTATAGGCCAAAGATTTACAGAAGTGCTTTTATAGTCTTCAAAAATGGTATTATGAAAGTAAATTACTTATGAATAATAAGAAAACTAACAGAATTGTTTGGCATAAATAAGAAAGTTCACCATCTGGTGTTTTTAAAATGAAAACCTTTGATGGTAATTACTTAGAATGCAACAAGAGTTTCCAAAATATGGATTTTTGGCATGATTCTCTCAAGAAATTTAGCACTCAAACAAGTAATTAAGACTATAAATCTTACACTGGTTTGATTATGAACGATGAATCATTGTCTCACAATTACAGCAGGAGAAAAGGCTGCCAAACATGTCCATTTATCGATATATGCTTACAGAGCGTTGGTTTAGGGCAATCTTAAGTAAAGTGTTATAACAATGTAAAATGAGATTTCATTATTTGCTCTAGAAGCATAAATTATGTTATAAATTATTGTTATTGTTTTCCTGGCGCCTGAAGATGGATTTGGGATTGGACGTTTAACTGATGTAATGTAAGATTAAGCGGCAGAGCTCTCTTTGGAGCCTTTAGCCTGCAGAAATAGTCTAGCTGGAGTTATTAAAGTCCTTGTATGCTCAGAGCAAGATTTTTCCCTTAGTATAGCTCACTCTATTTATTGTACGCAATATGTAAAATACTTTTTCAATATAATGTAGTGCACAACCTGAATAGAGGAAGAAGCAGTATCAAGTCCTCCAAAATCCTTAAGCCAGAGAGGATTCCTTAGAGCAAGTTGTCTGGACCTAGATTTTTTTAAATGTGTTCAGGAACTGTTGCCCTCCATTTATTTATTTTTTTAGCATCTGAGTAGCTGAACAGTGAATAGTCACTGAACCTCAATAACCTTTCAAATTAGGGCCCTGTTATGATTTGAAATCTTGTGCTAAAATCTGCACTAATTTTGGTTACATGCTCATTGTAGTTTGAAATGTGTTTTGTTGCACTTATCAAGCACATACATAGTTGTCATGCCCTAGGACGGGTCATAAGACAAGGATTTCTACTTTCTATTTCTATGGGCTTTTCATCAATCACAGGCATTATTTCTATATTTTTAAGGGCAATTTCACCTTTTTGAGAAGTTTCTCTTAGGATGATGACCTTTCCTGCAATAAACACAATATTCTCCTTGTGGTTTCATAGTATCCCACGCAGCAGACAAAACCCAGTTTCACATGCAAGAAAAATAAGCAAGAAGCATGTACTCACCCACTTGCCCATGTTGGGATAGTCATGCTCTGGATCAAAAAGATGTTGGTGCAGTTGGTATTCCCTGCTGAACTCTGCCGTGTCTGGGGTGTTTTCTAGACACCCATCATCAACTGCAAAAGTATGGTAGAAAACACTAAGTGCTTGGTAGCATTGAAACGCACGATATGTGCCACATTTATTAAAAAACTTCTTAAATGCAATTTAAAAAAATATATTGAAGAACTGGATGACTGGAAAATCTCAGGTATTTTTTTCTTTTGATTGTCAGAATATATTTAATTTTATTTTTTTTTAAAACCCAAACTTAATGTAACTTCAAAACTAAACAAATTTATTTTCCTAGCTCTCCCCTTCCTTTTTGTTTCTCTTTTAAGTTCATGTTTGAGCTTGATTTTACATAGAAGTACATGTTATTCTGATTCAGAGGAGGTCCTCTCTTCATTATTCAATGCCCACAGGAAGGTGTAGAAATTGTTTAGGCAATACTTTTGAAGCTGATGCTGTGAGAAAAGGCAGAATTTCTTTCACCTAACAGCTATTCACGCAACTCCATTTCTGATTTGGTACTTGGTTCAAAATGGCTAATAATAATTTACGTGTCTTAAGATCTCATAAAAAGGTGATGTGGCAGAGATCTTGTGCTAAAGACATTTCTGCAGATTGCTAACTAGTCTTATGAGTCTAGAAACCTCCTTTAATCACAACGGATGATTTTGCAAACAGTGTCACATCAAGGATAATACCCTTTTAAAAGTCAGCTTATGGACTTTTAACCAAAATACATCATCTTTAGATTAAACAAAGATTCAGCAACTTGAGGCCAGAGTAGCCCTTTGGATAGAGTCTGCTCCTGGAGCTCCCTCTAATTTGTCAGCCTGGGGAGCTTGCAGTCCAAGTTCCTCTCAGACATACCCAAGACATACCACCTGGGGCATGATGCTGGGCATCCAAGCAGCTACATCTGCCAGAACACAGGCAACTCCAGCAGACACACCTGTGGACTTTCCCTTCTGTCCTTGTGTGATCGTCACGTGAAAAGATTTGCAGATGGATTATCTTTTTTCCCTTAGATGTGGGAAACACTAAAATCCTGACTCCAAAATGAGTTCATTCAATGACCTGAGGAGGTTATTCTAAATCCAACAGATCCTGCTTTCTTTCTTTTCTCCTTAGAATGGGAAAAAAAATAAAGTTGCCAATAGCAACCAGGGGAAAACTAACCATACTGTCTAAGTAACTCAGAAACCATTAAAGTTAACTACGAGCACTTAAAAATTATTTCAGTCTCAGCAGGAACAGGGTCATCTCAAGAGAGAAGCAGGTGACAACAGCAGTGTGGTAGACCTCCTCAGAGTGTCTGTGCCTTTTGTTAGAAAACACAAAGGGCAGCTGGACATATGCGTGCCCTCTGCGACTGCTAATCCAAAAGTCTTCAAGCTCAAGTGCTCCAGGCTTATGTATTCCCGCTGTGGAATGTGCATATGTAGACAGTGACTGGAAAAATTGTTTTCCATTAAGCAAGTCCACAGACCTGATTGAGGAAGGCCTCCAGTAATTTGTATGCATAATACAGTCACCACTTGAATTTCCATTTAAGGCTCTGAAAAACATTTTACTCTAATCCTAGGAGATACTATCTTCACTCACAGCGTACCTACGACAGAGCCATTTATCTGAGCAGGCAGCACTTCCCTAAGAATTCTGATCTGACAGTATTAGCTCAGCTAACAACTTTTATTTCACCTAAGAAAGAAAAATTGAAGGGATTTTCACAGGCATTTCTCTGGATGCCAGGTTTCTAATTTATTTATCTAATCACTAACAGAACTCTAATGGGCAAGCACAGAAGATAGAAAATCTGTGTGTGTAAGAAAACCTAAACCCATCATTTGCAACCTGTCAGACAACAGCTATATTGAACAAAATGGAAGATTAAATATTATTTCAGAAGAGATGCAGGCGTCATCCCCAAGTGAGCTCTAATAGAAAGCAGTAAGGAATGATGATTCAAAATTTTGTCATGGTTTCGAATGAAATGCAAAAACAATGTTTGCAAAACTTTTCATGAAAAAGATTTTTTTTTATCAATTCTAACCTACTTAGAACATTTTTAATAAGAATACGGACAACTGTTTTGCATTATCCAAATAACATAAAAGAAGACTAAACAGAAAAGATTTAGAAAAGATCTCTTAGCTCACGAATAAAAAATGAGAGAAAAATAGTGTTCATTCCCAGTTCCAGCTCCCAAGGCAGCCAATGGGTGTTTTACTACTACTTTCAGTACTGGAAGCCATTCCTTGGCTCAAACAACAGGAAAAAGATCAATTCCCTTGGGGTATGTCTATATCATGCACACGCAGCGCTGCTTTAGAGATCCTTCAGCACTAGCCACACGTGGCTTGGTATATAAGCAGCTGCAAGCCGAGGGCTGCAGAGGGTGTCTTGGGCACCGTACTGGTCCAGTGCTCTGAGGCTGCGCTGGTCCTCTGCCAGAGCGAGCCTGCGTGCAACACGTTGGGGTACGTCCACGTAGTTCTCCGTTTCTTGGCACAGATGCACCCTCAGTGAGCTATAAAGCCACATGGATTGAAGCCAAGGTATCTTAAATATTGACTCATGGTCTGGGTTGGAGATCAGGGCAGACAGTTTCATTCCTCTTGGCACAATGAAAGTCTCTAAAATAAGGGTAAATCTCATCTGTACAGAATGATAACTTTTTTCAGGGGCCAGCCTAAAAATGAACTCTGTCAGGAACAAGCCGCTATCATAAATCTCACTATCTCGTACTCCAAGGTCAAGATGATTTCTTTCACCTGACCTTCTCTAGCCATCATGTAGCAATACAGAAGGTGCATATTAAAAAAAAAATATCTCATCTCAAACACCTGATTGCTCAACAGTTCTCCTTCTGGGGTAGAGAATAAAAGAAAACACCAATTGCTGATCAAGTGTCGTACTGCCTAGTACAGCACTGAAAGATGCATGGTGAAAACAGACGTGAAAAAGCTACAGCATAATTACCTGTTTTTCCAATAGGGCAGGGATTTGGAGGGTCAGGATAACCTTGATCTTCACTGAAATCCTTTGGTACATTATCTCCTGTCAGCTCGGCCACGATGTTTGGGATGTTGCCGTAAGGACCCAAGTGCTGGAGACCCTCGTGCGCACCACCTAGCAAAGACAATTTACACGCACTGTCTTTTTACAAGATTAAAAGTGTAAGTGCTTTAGTTTAGATTTCAAATGTCTCTTTTAGAAACACGACCCTGTGAACTAAATCGGAGAATTGGGTAATGAAAAATGAAGCTAGGAAACAAGATCAGTCACTCGTTATTATTCTTAGGGTCTTTTTGTTCTTTAACTATGTAAGTTATAGGCAAGAAAATACAAAGAAAAAGAAACATGAGACAGTAGCGGAACTTAATATATTTACTGCATAATCATCTTCAGTCACTGATATTGTTAATATTCATTGTAGCAACAAATAATTGAAGATATGGCAAGACAACATCATGACAAGAAGACAAAGTTAAGGACAACATAGAAAGAAATAATACTATTTGAACAGCCTGGAAATACATTCATAAATTAAGTCATATGAGAGGACCCAAGATATTATTGCAAATTTGGTTGTATACAGCTAGGAAAATTATTTTTAAATCAAACCATTTCTTAAATGCAATTTAAGTTTCCTGCAATAATGGTGAAAAGTCCATATTTTTGATGAGAATTCTTGTGCATGTACACCTACACAGTATTCATTACAGTATGAAACATCACATTCTGTGACTTTTATACCTTTACAGAATTGATCAGTTCTAGATGCAGGATTTTATATTTGCCCTGCGGGACTTGGAGCACCATCACTGCAGGGTTACAACAGGAGTGCACAGCAAGTTTTATAACTCAGTGGCAGAGGACACAATGATGGGCTTCCTGTTCTTGGCCAAGCGCACACAGCAGGGATGTGCCACAGCCTTCTGCCACTCATCTCAGCTTGGGTTCCTTGCCTTTGACAAGGAGGCTCTTCCACTAAAGGTTTGGGAACCAAGCTCAGGCCATTCTCTCTATATGCCTCTCTACAAATATTCATTTGCTCCAGATCTTTTCTGCACACATTACCAGCCAAATGCACCTACAGGCTAAAACCCAGCTGCTTGGGGAATTTTCTAAATACTACTATACAGTACTATTTTGAATTTCAGGCAAATAAAAAGTTAGTTTCAAGCATGCTCTTTTCCCCTGCCATAAGGCAGCCACCACACACCCTGCAGCAACAGCTAATGTAGTTACTGAGTACTGTAGGAGTTACATTGAGTACTGAGATGGTTGTGTGACAGTAGAGCAATATTATTTTAAAACCCTATATAATGAGGGATAAAATGTAACAGTTGACATATAAATTCCACTAACAGGAGAGGAAAAGGAATTTGAATGACTGGAAAATGTGAGTTAAAGAGCGAATGCAGACACAACTGTTTGAGTAAGTAGCATGACCACCATATCACCAAACAGTCTTATTTTCAATTTCTATAATTATAATAGATCCAAAAGATCGGAATAAAGCTTCCGAACATGAAAGCTGCCTCAGGAGTACTCCTGTCCCAACTAACAAAAAAATACTACCAGCCTAAATGGCCTGTTTAGCTTGGAGAAGACAAGACTGAGAAGGGATCTCATCAATGCTTATAAATATCTAAACATTTAGAAGTGGTAGTTGAGTCAAATTGTTTATATTTTCCAAATAATCAGTTGGAAGCTGGCATTATATTACCAGAAGTAAGTTAGTCAAGAGGATGGGGCCAGCAACAGGAAAATGTGCAATGGGCCCAAACTGGAACGAGTTACATTGAGTACTGAGATGGTTGTGTGACAGTAGAGCAATATTATTTTAAAACCCTATATAATGAGGGATAAAATGTAACAGTTGACATATAAATTCCACTAACAGGAGAGGAAAAGGAATTTGAATGACTGGAAAATGTGAGTTAAAGAGCGAATGCAGACACAACTGTTTGAGTAAGTAGCATGACCACCATATCACCAAACAGTCTTATTTTCAATTTCTATAATTATAATAGATCCAAAAGATCGGAATAAAGCTTCCGAACATGAAAGCTGCCTCAGGAGTACTCCTGTCCCAACTAACAAAAAAATACTACCAGCCTAAATGGCCTGTTTAGCTTGGAGAAGACAAGACTGAGAAGGGATCTCATCAATGCTTATAAATATCTAAACATTTAGAAGTGGTAGTTGAGTCAAATTGTTTATATTTTCCAAATAATCAGTTGGAAGCTGGCATTATATTACCAGAAGTAAGTTAGTCAAGAGGATGGGGCCAGCAACAGGAAAATGTGCAATGGGCCCAAACTGGAACACTGGAAGTTCCATCTGAACATGAGGAAAAACTTCTTTACTTTGAGGGTGCCAGAGCACTGAAGAGGCTGCCCAGAGAGGGTGTGGAGTCTCCTTCTCTGGAGATACTCAAAACTCACCTCAGCACAATCCTGTGCAACCTGCTCTAGGTGAACCTGCTTTGGCAGGGGGGTCATTCTAGATGATGTCTGAAGGTTCCTTCCAGCCCTTGCCATTCTAGGATTCTGTAAATCATCTTTTATACAGCTAGGCATTGTAAGCTAACATAATCACTTTCAAAAATGTCTAACATAAGGCAGTCTTGACAATTTTGTGTTCATTTTTACATTTAGAAGTGGTAGTTGAGTCAAATTGTTTATATTTTCCAAATAATCAGTTGGAAGCTGGCATTACAATACCAGAAGTTAGTCTCTAAGCATATATATTTCAGTTTTATTTGCATGATGGACTAAAATCTAATCAACATGCTAATTTTCCCCCTCAAAGTTTCTTATTCTGTAATGCAATGTTGAAGCAAAGTTTTACAGCTATGTAACAAACATAAAAGTAGCCCTATAAATATTTTGCATCTGCATTATATGAGGTTTTCCTTTGTAGCTGACCATGAGACCTGGTACTAAAACCATAATAGCATTATATACACTGTGAACTTTATTATACATTTGCAGTCCATAGGCAACACAAATATGATGCTTGTAAGGACTGTGTAGATTCACAATAAGGCTACGGTGATGAGGTTAAAAAAATGTATAACAGTCATTTAATCTAACATCTAGTGTACAGTGTTAAATACTTCTTTTATACTGAGCTCCTTCACATGAAGATTGATTGTATATATGTACTTAAAAGCATCAGGTTATGATTCTGCTGTAAACTACAGAACCACATAATCAATACGTGTTTGAACATCCTGTATACAATGTGGTTCACTACGGGATAATCCATCAGATAGAAGCATATCTACGCTTCTATGTGGTGCAGACCTCTTGGCACCAAAGCTCCATCCATAACGAAAACAGAGGTACTTAGCAGGCTCCAGTGTGCTATATATACATGTAAGTTTAAACTAACTGCCAAGAATTCCTTTGAGTACAAAATAATCTTTTTATATTAATATAAAGGATTGTTTCCTTTAGGTATAAACGTCCAGGATCATTTAAGGGTTTTTCCTTTCTTTCCAAAGGAGCTGGAGACAATAGCACCTGCTCTGGTGCCATAATTTAGCACACTTGAGCGATTTAATAGCGTTAGCAAGGCTCATTCCTTATAAACTCTGATAAATACTGCAGTCAGTAAAGACTGCAATAATAAAAATGAAATGCTATAAATATAGCAAATAGGGGTATTATGTACAGCAATTCACAAGCTGCATTAGTTTTGGTATTGTAACGTTACTGATTTGAAGAAACATATTAGGATTGAATACACTGCAGCTACCAAGTCAAAATATTGTAATACAAACATACACAGTTAGCTACAAAAATAGCACAAGATGAGTCTCTCGAACCTTGAGGCAGAGACTGAAAGAAAGACAAGACTACTAAATACTGAGAAACTTTTCATCATCTCCTATCCAAGGGATAGATAAATCTATGTTTTTCCCATCTCTCCTAGCTTCTTATATGAACTGTCTTTTTTGTGCCGCATACTAGCAAAAAAAACCCAAACCAAACCAAAAAAAAAAAACAGCCTCCAAAATAGTCAGCTCCCTTTCCTGTGCAGGATTTCTGTGTGAGTATGTAGTTATTTTACACCCCTAAGGATAAACTAGAAGCTTTGGTCTTTTGGACTGTGGTCAGTATTTTCATAAGTAAGCTTTGGATTTCATTTGAAATATATGCATATATGTAACCCTCTTCTGGCACTGATCTTGAACTGTTGCAGAGTGGAACCCAAAACAGAACAATGCCTCTCCCCTTCCTGTAATTCTGGAAAAAGTCTTCAGTCATCTCACCAACTGCTGGTATCATCTCTATTAGGGATACTTGGAATGACTGAAAATTTACAGTGGATACATTTTAACTCATTTCTTTGTAGGAGCAATGCTGTCTCTATGGGTGGGAGGACAACACAACCGTTCTGGTCTTGGGAAAAAAAAAAAAAAAAAAGAAAAAAAAAAGGAAGAAGAAACAAAACAGGAAAAGAAAACACAAAGAACAACTATTTTCCTGCCAGTATTGAATATTGTCCTGATCAAACACATCCAACGGAATTGTTGTTGGTCCTGACCATCTGTTGGTAGCATAAAACACCACTGAAACAAATCTGCTCACAGAAGCCCTCCTCCACATGGAATAGAAGCAGGCAATGCTGCCCCCCAGAAGAGTCGTTTTAAGAGAGTCAGTGAGAACGGACTTTCAAAAGTGTGAAATGACTGCAGAACATTTAAAGACAAATAATGGGACAAATTTGCCTTTCAGTCTGATTGGAACAGTTTCCCACATCACAGTGGGAATGTGGGAAACAGATAGGGTTACCCCACTTCCAAATTCTGACAAGAGGTCGTTTGGTCAATCTTAGCAAGGAGATACTAAATAGAGCGGGTCACGAGTGTCTGTTGTGAGTAAATAAATCCCACATCCCTAATTAAAGCCCTTTACATAGAGAGTCATGTTAGATGCCCTAGATTTCATATTTTTGCTCTTAAACATTATGAAGCAGATTCTTAAAGTGTCCAAGCCCTTCCCAGCTGCACAGAGGAACATTCCTCCCAGGTAAGGTTGTGCCTCTTGTGATCTAGAACTGTACAAACTCCAAGCAAATCTGAGCTGCAAGGGAAGCCTGGTATACCTTAT